TTGGAGAACCGCTCGGGATTAGGCCGCTTCGGCTCAGTGGAAAGCAAGCCCTTTTCCCAGAGGATCGTCAATACTAGGGATAGAGACCCGGGGAGAGGAGTGAATTGTCTTCTAGCGCCTTGTCGTCGATTAGAGAACGGGTGTCTCGGTGGGCTATCTTGACATCCAGGGAGTAGTCGTGCTTTGCTTTGCTGGGGGCGCGATGTTGGAACGAGTGGATTCCGATTACCTTGTTCGTGCTTTACGAACTTTGGACGCAGGGTGCTCAACTCCCTAAGATCAGGGGACTCAATAGTATTGCCAGGTACGACTGCTTTGTCATTTGGGTCGGTGCTGAAGGGCTTCGTTTGAATCATCACCCTTGGCCATTGAGGAAAGGGGCGGGCCATGGTGAGTTGTTTCAAGCAATCCGACAGATGCGCTGTTTGCCTCGAGAGTTGTTGGAGAATGATAGAGGCTTGCTTCAGGTCCTTCTCGATATTAGCGAGGCGGTTCAGCACTTCACTCTGATTACTTGTTTTCTCTCGTGGCCAGATGGGAACAGCCGGTGGTCGACGATCCATAATCACTTAGCTCGAGTATCAACTTCCTCGCGGTGGTAGCTCACAGCTAGGGGCGTCTCGGCTTGGCGGCTAGCAGACGTATGAGGCTCCGAGAAACAAAGACACTGACGGCGTTTATGTAGAGAAGCCGCAATCACCGCGAGAACAGCAAGTGGTGGACGGAGCTGCGGTTTGTGCCGGGCGGTGAGCTCACGGTGGCGAAGGAGCAACAATGAAGGAACTCGGCGAGGTTGCCCCTTGGCGAGGCTCGAGCGACGGATCGATAACTGTGGATGATCCGTAGTCACCTAATTCAAGAGAAATGAACCAAATAAGCACATGGTCAAGACAAGGTTGGTCCATGACACGCTTTCTAGTCTTTTTCATTCTTCGTTTATTCATAAAAATACTCGTATATGAACGAGACTTTATGGAAAAGTGCTCTAAGCAAAGAAATATAAATAACACTCTAGACACAACCTAGGAAATAGACACATCGAAATCCCCAATCATAAAATTAGGAAAACCAAAAATTAAGACTCCCTAAAAACTATGAACTGAAAACAAATTCTCTGAAGTTTTTTTTTTTTCGCCATTTTTGTTATAAAAACGATAACAACCTCTTGTGAAAATAATTACCTATGACACACCCAGGAAATAAATTCTCTAAAAAAAAAGGCTTTCTTTCTTTCTTTCTTTTTTCTTTTCAAAGGACTCAATGATTATGGCTTTCAAATTAAAACCTACCTAGACCTGTCATGGACCACCCAAAAAAATACGAGAAAATAAGTAAACTGCAAGATAAAGGCTCAGAAGACTTACTTCACCTGTTAGGACCATGGCAACCACATAGACATGCGCATGAAATGTGAGGTTCGATTTCTATCTAGACTCTGGCTTGCAAAGTGGAGACGCGAGGATTACCGAGCTAAACCAGTCATGGTGGTGGTTAGGCTGGGATTCCCCTGACTCCGGCTTAGTCAAGGAGCCGACCCGGGTTGCAAATGGTGCAACCGTGGTGGGAACTTAATGACACCGTGAAAGAACTTTCGGGACCAAGGAGGGCGACCCGTACCACGCGGGTGTGGTCGGGGTGTCCGCTGTCTCAGTACCATCCTAAACCTGTGCCGCCCAGGTCCGGCAGCGGGTAGTGTGTGCGGTGTAGTGTAAATGCAAGGCATGCACAACATGTTATATCAAACAGCGCTTCGTGCATAAAATAAACCATACATCCAAACACCTCCCTGCAAAACAAGGGCTAACAATCACGCCTCCCCTTATACCTCCCATTCTGCAAAAACATTTAACACCTAAAATGTTAGGGACGTACCTGGGATCCTCGCTGCCAAACAAAAATATTTTTTGAAAAGAAAAACTGGCCTAAGTCCACTAAGAGTTTTAACTCAAGTCCCCAGCGGAGTCGCCAAGCTGTCGCGACCTAAAATTTCTCTCAGGCTAATGGATTGTTAAGGCTAAGCCTAACTCGGGCCCTCCCAAGCCCTACCAATTCGCAACTTAGAGTTTAAGTTTTTAACATGCAAAAGTTTTTATGCTCGGAGTCGCCACTAATCTATTTATGGTAGGTCGATTAGAAACCTAAATAAAACATAGGGAGATATGTTTTATTCCTACGAACCAGAGATTCTAAGCCCAGGGACTTGATTACGCTAGATCTGGTCTAACGCCCTTTCGGTACCTTTTCTTTTCAAAAATGTTTTGACAGGCAGTTTGGATCCATTTCAACTTAGTTACTAACATGTGAGGTGTTCATGCGAGTGCGCAAACCACCAATTTAACACCCAGAAAGCATTAAATAAATTGCAAGTTTGGAAGAATTACTTACCTGGAAGCAACGTAAGCATCTGCATTGTTAGCTAGAAAATCACATTGACACCCTAATATGATTTCTAAGTAACAAGCAATTCACTCAATTTCTTTTTTTGGATTTTCACTTATTTAAATGAAATCTAGCCTATATGCAATGACATGCGAAAATGACATGCGATTAATGCAACCTAGCATGCAAACTATATGTCGTGCGACGACGTGACCTATTTCTAATGACAGGGACGAATGATTATTTTTGGTATTTTCTCAATTTAAATTCGGAATAATAAAAATGCCTAAATTAACATGCAAACTATGATGACTTAATCTACCCTAGCATGATTTCTTTTTAGGATTTTTTGTTAAAATTCGAAATAATGAATTACTTAAATTAAGAATACAATCTATCCTAATCTATCCTAAAACAATTCATTCTTCTTTTCTTGGGATTTTCATGGAAACTCGAAATAATAAAATAACTTGAATAATCTATTAAGATTAGAATATTACTTAATTTAAACTAGGAAATGAATCATCTCAAGTCCTAATTTAAATTAAATAACTACTCTATCTTCTAGATATATTTAGGATTCCTAGACATGCAAAAACTCTAATTCAAATCTAATTAATATTTTTTTTTGAATTTTCTGTTTATTTGAAAAAGGAAAGCAATTAAATAAACAAGGATAGCAACCACATTCAAAACGTCCACGGGATCCGCCATATTTGTTTCAAACTCGGATTAGGCACAAAAATCAAACTATCGGTCATATCTATAGGGTTATAGATATCGACGGAAAGCCGATTATTCAAATTTGGAAAGCGGATAAAAATCATTATCGTACCCAAGTGGTTATGGATACGATAATGATTTTCCGTATCGCCGCGTATCGAACCTTAGGGATAAGGTCGGATAGTCGTCCAGATACGTTGCTACATTAGGAAGTTTTCCTAATTTTGAATATTTAAAAATATTGCGGATATATCGAACATTATCCTAAGATTTCTAAATATCCACATGCTATTCACGAAATATTCAAACACCCGAAAGATTAGGAAATTGAATATTCTAAGACTGTAGATGAGAATCTTACCTAATTTGTGGATATTTCCAATTCGAACTTGGATCGGACTCGGGCTTGCGGATTGGGACGGTGACCGACGGCCGATGGCCGACGGCGGCACAGGGGCAGCTCGGCTAGGCGCTGGGCTCACGGACGACTGCAGCAACGACGACGTCGATTTGGGGGCGTAACCGCTGGAGTTGTCGTGGACGTTGCTGTAGTCGGCGAGGCTTGCGGCTCGGCAAGGCTCACGGCGGTATCTTGGAATTGGACTCCTTGACTTTAGTGGTCAGCAAAGCAAAGGAGTGGTGGAACGTGGATAACCTGCAAGAAAGAAAAAAAAAACAATCTTTTTCTGCCGTCTTTTATTGCTCCTTTATGCCCCTCCCTGTCTTCGTATCTTGCATGGACTAATGGCCGGACTACACGCCAAAGGAACTTCAAGGACGCTTGTGGAATTTTGGGCACGTTGCAACAAAACAAGCACACCAGGAGGAACATAGGGATTGGACTGGAAACTCGTTGGCTTGACTAGTGCAGGGCTGGACTGGAGACTTGACGACAAAGAAGAGTCCAGCTACAGCGGCACGGGACCGTCAAGGGCAGCGGCTCAACTACTTCGTCGATGGCATCAAAGGATCCCAGTCTCGGGGGCAGCAGATCGTGTGGAGCTTCGCGGCTTCGTCGTCGATGAGAAGGCGCTGAGTTGGGTCACTGTTTTATGGCAGCAGCAGCGGCAGGGATCGTCGTTGAGCCACGGCGACAGCAAGCTACTCACAGCCACAGGTATGGCTGTGAGCGGGCAGTGCGGACGCGAGCACGAGGCAGCGTGGCGATGAGGCGGCGCTTTCTCACTCTTGCTCTTTAGTTTCGCTATTTCCTCACGTGTATCTCGTGCTCTCTCTGAAGTTTTCAGATCTTGAAAATTATGAGAGCTCTCCTCCCTTGAGTGGGGGTATAATCACATATTTATATCGCAACCCTAGGTTAATTGGCCAGGCTTCCTAGTCCTAATGGGCTTTGGTTTAGGCTTTATCCTTTAATTTTTATTTAATTCCAAATTGACTGAATTAATTTGGGCTTTTCTTTAATTAAGCTTAATGGGCTGATTTAAGCTCAAATTAAGACAATCAAGGCCTTTTAGACTTGTGATTTTCGGCCCCCGTCTTCTGAGTGAGCCGAGTTTCGTTCAGTGCTCGAGCTCGGTTTGCGCGATGGATTTTCAGTTCACTTGCCACCGCCGGTTCGATGTGGAATGCAGTTAATCTATATAAACCTAAACTATATGTTTATGCAATTTAAATATTTTTTTTTAGGGGTTAAAAATTTAATCCCTAATTTTCTATGCAAATTACACTAAATGATACGCCAAAATTTAGGTGTCAACACTTGTCATGTGTCCCTTATGTTGACAACTATCTTTGGTACAAACACTTGTCGACCATCTTTGATTCTATGTCATTATTACTGAACCATCACCATGCACTAAAATGGATATCTGCGACGTGTAATTAATGTCTCCGTCATGCGTGTTGATAACTTGGCCAAATTTTGGTGTAAACAGTTTCAAGTTTCTGACCTTAACTCCCCAGCGATCTTTCTCATACGAGAAGCCTAGGTCATTGTCCCACTAAATCAACTAACTCTTCGCTCCAATTCTCCACCACCACCACCACCACCATGCGAGCCTCTCAACCTCCTCCTCCACCCCATTTGAGGTACTTGCGAGATGACGACATGCCGCTAGCATTCAAGGACTTGCTCTCCTCCCTCCCTTCGGAAGAAGACTGGGTCACCACCTCTCTCCGCTTGTACCAGGGCTTCTGGTTCCCCTCTTGGCTCTTGAATGGCGTCCTCACTTGCCAAAACCACTTCCAAGCTCACCCCTCTGACATCCTCCTCGTCACCAGCCCAAAACCCGGCACCACTTGGCTAAAGGCCATCCTCTTCGCTCTTTTGAACCGTGCCAAGTACTCCAACTCCGACTCACAACGAAGCCACCCTCTCCTAACCCAAAACCCTCACGACCTCGTGCCCATCTTGGAGATCAGGCTCTATCTCGAGCAAGAAAATCCCGATCTCACTGCTTTAGCGTCCCCGAGGCTCTTCGCCACCCACGTCCCTTATTCCTCACTTCCACAGTCGGTGAGGGACTCAAACTGCAAGCTGGTTTACCTGTGCAGGAACCCCAAGGACACCTTCGTCTCAATGAGGCACTATGCCAACAAGCTGAGGCCGGAAGAGAAGGGCCAGATTCCAATCCAGGACTGCCTCGACAAGTTCTGACGAGGGCTGAGCCCTTATGGGCCTTACTGGGACCATGTGCTGGGTTACCACAAGGTGAGCTTGGAGATGCCCGTGAAGGTGTTCTTCGTGATGTACGAACAGCTGAAAGTCGACCCGCATGTTCATGTGAGGAGGTTGGCTGATTTCTTGGGGTGTCCATTCAGCAAAGAAGAACTGAGAGACGGAACAGTGGAGGGGATACTGAGGATGTGTAGCTTCGATAATTTGAGCGCATTGGAGGTGAATAAGTGCGGGAAGTTGTTGACTGGTATGGAGAACGAGTGGTTCATCAGGAGAGGTGAGGTTGGAGATTGGGTAAATTGCATGAGTGCTGAGATGGGGGAGAGAATTGACGGTGTCATGGAAGAGAAGTTGCATGGTTCTGGTTTGAAGCTTTGAAGTTCGGTTAAATAGAAAAGGTATCTGCAGGCCATTGATGAAGCTTTGTATTTCTCCTGCTATAGGATGAAAGGGCTACGGTGGCATTGTCAATCGTGGCTTCGTCTACAAAGAGAGATGCTTCAAGGTTGTGATTCTAGTCTTCATTTATGTTGTACTATTGGCGCTTGCAGATGTCATTTGGCCAACACGTAGTTGGCTAATAAAAAGCTGCCATCCTTCTCACTGGGAGCTTATGGATTTTATCTTCTGTTATTCTGTACAATTCCTTTTTTCCTTTTTGCTGAGTGAAGCTTCGGGGTATATGGTCTTCTATATGTGTTGCATTCTAGTTTTTATTTGTTGGGTGGTCTTAGATCTCTCTCAAACCCTAAAAGCTAGCTCAAAGGATGAAAATTTTCCTCGTACTAATAAATTGACTATCAGGCCCTTTCACAACCGATGTGAAATAACCCCAACAATCTCGCTCTCACATCGGGCCCTAGGTCAAAGCAGTAACAATTCATACCTCCCATGTGACTGTTAGGTCCAGACTTGTTGGTAACCTAGGCTCTGAAACCAGTGTTAGGGAGAATCGGGCAACAATTCACCAAGAACTAACCCAATTCAAAATCAATTTCTTCCCCAAAAACTATACCGACCAAAATCGACTTGACCCCAACAACAACAAGTGGTATATTCTAGCAATATAACCTCAGAATTGTTAAAGACACAAGGCAACAACAATATAAAGATTTTTATGGGGAAAACCCAACACAGGAAAAACCATTGACCACTCAAAAACTTTCACTAATCACAAAGAATAGTAGGATACACAAAAGTTCTTCTCTAATCACACGCTAGATGCTCAATATCAATAATATAGCAGTATTGGGAAAAGTGTTAAAAAAATCATAAACCTTTTACATGGGTGCCAATTCAGTCCTAAATCTTTTTTTTGTGCCAATTCAGTCCTAAACCTTTTAATATAGCGTCAACTTAGTCCTTCCGGCTAATTTTGGCGTGATATTGTTGACGTGGAAGCCGACTGGATTATGCAGCACCGCTGACGCTAATGTGGATAATTTTTAATAATATTTTAATATTTTTCGAATTTTTTATTTCTTTTTTCTTTTTTCTTTTTCTTTTTTCTTTTTATCTTTTTATCTTTTTTTCCTTTCTTCTTCTTCTTCTTCTTCTTCTTCTTCCTTTTCCGGTGACCGGCCACCAGCCATGGCCAGGCGGGTTGGCCTTGCCTGAGCGAGGTCGCCGTCGTCTGGCCAGCTCAGGCGAGGGCCAACCCCGATGAGGGTTTCCCTTGCCAGATCTGGAGAGGCCGGGCCTCGCCAGGCCAAGGCAACCTCGCCGGGCGTCACCCAGGCGAAGGAAAAGCCCGACGAGGCCGCCTTGGCCTGGGTGAGGGCCGGCCTCGCCAAATCTAGCTTGGGCGACAAGCAACGGCAAAGGCAACTGGGTTGGCTGTGCAATGGTGTTGGGCGAGAGGGACGATAACGCAGCAAGTAGCGAACAGGAGACTGGATTGGCTATGCAACGTGAAGACTAGTGAACATGGACCGGATGAAGGTGGCGCGATGAGCGGCATGGCTAAACAGGCCCGGCGAGTGTCAGCCTCGCCAGATCTGGCGAGGGGAGCCCTCGCCGGGCAAGGCCTCGCCCTCGCCTAGCCGAGCAACGGCAACCCTCGCTCAGGCGAGGCCATCCTACACGGCCATGGCCGGTGGCTAGCCATCGCCAACCGGTCATCGGAAAAGGAAGAAGAAGAATATAGGAAAAAATAAATAAATAAATAAATAACTCAAAAAAGTATTAAAATATTATTAAAAATTATCTATGTCAGCGCCGGCGGTGCCACGTAAGCCGGTCGACATCCACGTCACCAATATATGGTCAAAATTAGCCAAAATGACTGAATTGGCACTATATTAAAAGGTTTAGGACTAAATTGGCACCAATGTAAAAGGTTTAGGACTTTTTTGACACTTTTCCCCAGCAGTATTTCATCACCAAGAAGGTAAATTAACACAAATGGAGCAGGTTTTCAACGAACAATACTGATCAACTTGTAGGTCTCATTTTCACGAATAACATATTGAAATTTGAGCCAATTTTGATAACATATGGCCGTAATCTTCGTCGGAAGTTGCTGCCTTTTTTTTTCTTCTCTGCATGCGTTCCAAATTGTGAAAACGCTCTCACTTCTCTCTCTCTCTCTCATGTACACTCCAAGAACAGCCCCTTCTTTTCTTTTTTTTTGCTTTTTGAATTTTTTACTCTTTTTTTTAATTAATTATGTTTGTTGGGTCCCACAATGAGGTGGACCCGGCCAACAAATCTCCCCTTTCATCTCACATGGGAAGCTCCAATACGTCCGCTTTGTTTCTATAAGAGTCAAGTTTCACCATGAGCAAAGCTTTTCGAAACCATTGTCATCGGTGGGAACTTTCTCAATTATGAAGAGTTTCTCTTCTAATTTCTCTCGGATCCAATAATATTTCATATCAAAATGTTTCAACTGAGGATACAACACTAGATTGTCCTCACTGTTCATCTTCCTAGAAAGAGCCAGCGAGGGTCGTCAGGGCCTTGGTGATGACCAGCGACCCTCGCCTTTGGTCGGCGAGGGCGTCATGGCAGCAAGGGTCTCGTTTAGCCAAACAATCAATGGTGCACAAGCTTGAGGGATCGAAAGAAAAATAAGTACCTGTGGCTCAAACATTGGTTTACCCTACACGAGCTGAGAAATCTGGTCATCGACATTGCCATGTGATTTCAAAGGAACCAAATCCAAGCTCATCTTCTTCTACTTCAACTCCCCCAACCTCAGATTTACAGATCGCCCCATGAAACTTCCCACCAAAACTTGTTTTCTTCGGCCAGAGTGAGGGTCGCAATGCCCTCGTCGGCCACAGTGAGAGTCGCCGGTTATCGCTGAGGTCTCGACGACCCTCGTTAGCTCTTGCCAAGAAGAAGAACAGTGAGAAATAGGAAAGACAGAAAAGGAAATAATTATATCTCAAAACGACGTTTTGAGTGAAGTCGGACATATCAAATCGCCGACCATGCCACGTAGAATGGTCGATACTTATTGGACGACCACATCAGCGATTTTCAATCTAAATTGGCCAAATGAACTACATAGAAAAATCATCAAAAGGTTTAGGACTACATTAGCCAAATTGGAAAGTTAAAATTGAATTTGCTGCCGTATAATTAGATGTGAAACTTTTTGGACAATTTTCCCTATGTTGTGGTGGACAAAATTAATTAAAATATAAATATTGTAAGGAATTTTGTATTTTTAAGTGGGATTTAAGGTGGGTAGAACAAATATTTAAAATGCGATTGGTGTAGTCTAGTAGATATCCATCTATGTGCAATACTTACATCCACTGGACAAGTTTTGTACTAAAAAAAAAATGATACAAATCGCCCTTGAACTTTGGTTCAATTTACAATGTCGTTCCCGGACTTTTACTTTGTTCAATGTAGTCCTTAAACTATTGATCTATGTTTAATCTAATCCCTTGACCATATAAAAATGTTCAATATCGTTCTTCCGTTAATTCAAGTTAACAAAATCTAGTGGCATAACTTCTACTCTGTTATATTTGAACGGTGGACGAAAAAGAGTTACACGTGGGCACTTCAAATTATTTTCTATCCGTCATCTTTTAATCCACCTAAATATACTCGCATAAGGTAAAAACGTTGAATCGGACCACATTTGAGATGAGATTTGCTCGATTTGGAAAAATATGCCTTGCTTAGGCACTTCGGATCCAAGAATTCTTGGAGGAGAGAAAGGGATAATTGGTTGATAAGCTCGCTTGGACAAAGATGGTTTGATGGGTTCAGGCCGATACCGGCGACTGTGCAACTTACATTCTCAAGTGATTTTCTAAGGCTTACTTTCTGCTTCTTCTTGCCCTTATGCAGCTTTTGGGAGACCAGTAACCTAGAAATAGAGAGTGAGAGCATAGTAGAAACTGAGAGAAGGAAGAAAAGAGATTACCTTCTTTTTCTTTTCTTTTTCCTTTTATTTATCGGTAGCCTTTGCTGCTCAGGTTTGAGCTCTTTCATAATAATATCCCCAAGTTAATTCCAAAAAAAGGTTTCAGCTTTAGGTCGAAGGACAATTCTGACTCGAACTTTTTTTTGTCCAGTAAAAAAGCATCAACTTTAGGTCAAGGGACAATTTTGGCCCGAACTTTTTTTTATCCCGTAAAAAGCACTAACTTTAAGTCAAGTGACAATTCTGGCCCCAACTTTTTTTGTCTCGTAAAAAGGTACCAACTTTCACTTAAATCCCAAATCTAGCCCCCATTGACTTAGAACCATTGATTATCTAACTTAACTATTTCATCTTAGTAATAAATCCACGTGGCTTGCTGACTGGATTTAAAGTAATATTCATTGTCTTATTCTCTGAGCCACAATTTGAAGAATAACGGTGAAATTGTTCGTCTCCTTCACTTTACCGACAATTCAAAAATATCTCCAAATTGAATCTCTCTAGCCAAACATAATTTGAAGCTGACCACCGCCTGTCGATAGACGTCATGGACGAGATTCGCCAAGCTCACCACCATAACCTTCTTTCTCAAACAATGGTGAAAGTCAACGAGGGGCCAGATTTGGGATCATGAAGAAAGTTGGTAATTTTTTATGAGACAAAATAAAATTGGAGCCAGAATTGTCACTTGACCTAAAGTTGGTGCTTTTTTATGGGACAAAAAAAAGTTCAGGCCAGAATTGTCCCTCGACCTAAAGTTGGTACTTTTTTATGGGACAAAAAAAAGTTCGGATCAGAATTGTCCCTTGACGTAAGTTGGTGCTTTTTTTTTTTAGTTAAGCCTAATATCCCTTGTCGAAATTTCTTTTCCAAATTAGAGCTAAATATTTTACACAGACAACTCACGTGCAATTTTTTTTTTGTCACCGTTCAAACATAATGGATTAGAAGTCACGTCAGCATATTCGATTGACTTGAATTAACAGAATGACGATATTAAATATTTTCATACAGTCTCAGAATTAAATTGAACATTTAACAATGACCCACGTTATTTCCACTCCCTTGTTGACTCCTGATATTCCATTTTACATTGAATTGACTACATTATCCTTTATGGTCCTACTTTTGATTTAAAATTATTCTTACCTTGTTTGCTTCTTTAAATTTTACTAGAAACCAAACTATTCAATATTTATGCTCCTCTCATATAATCTTTATCAAGTTAAATGCGGGGCCCATT